GTGAAGACTGTCAGGGCCGGCTGACTTGAAGGTATCCATCTTCTCAAGATGTTCCTTCACGAAGTCAGCATCAATGGAGGGCAGGGGATCACCCTCACCCGGACTTCCCTGTCCCGTAGCGGGCATGGGCGTCCCATGGGACTGATGAAAGACCGACGCAAAGTACCTATTTAATAGGTTGGCTTTTTCCTGGGCGTCAGTTGTCCCATCTGGTTCAGCAGGGGTCCAACGTTGCCCCTGCTTTTCCTCCGGCTCCCCACATATCTGAAAAAGGACTTTTTATTGTCCTTGATGCTCAAAGCTAGTTGGAGTTCAGTTGCAGCCTTGGCTTTCCTGGTCTGCTCCCTACAGGACCGGACCAGTGCAGAATAATCCTCCTTGGAGGAGACTCCCATCCTCCATCCTTTGTGGACCTTTACAAATGGACCTTTATAAATCTTAAATGGACCTTTACAAATCTTTCTTTTGGGCTGATTAGGTATGGCTTCTTTAAAAAAATGGCATACCTCATTAGGTTTATGCAGTCAAAATCTCTCTAGTAAGAATTGTGTGAATAATGATTTTGTTTTCTGGCTGAACTGAAAACCTAAAGAAAATTTGAATTCAGGCCAACCAAAAGTAGAAATGTTAGTTGAAATGGAAACTTTCCAGGAAATAAAAAAAAGGGGGGAAATGTTGGTTTTGTTTGGTCTGAAAAATTTTGTTCAACCTAAGAAAAACTAATTTATTTTAGACTAAGTGAAAGATTTTATTGACCCAAAATAAAAAGGGTTTTTTAACTTTCAAGTGATTTTGCTGCGTATTGTCAAAAATGTAAAGTTTCAGAACTAAAATTGGATTTCTGAGTGAAAAGTAGAATGTGTTTATTTTTAAAGTTTTAGAACAAATGGTTTAATCTTTTTCCAAAACATTTTCCTCTTTCTTGGACTGCAACTGCATATTTCAATGAATTTAGCAGTCACTAAAACAATTTTCAACCAAAATTTCATCTCTAAGACTCTTTAATCAACTATATCCTCCCAGGATTTTTAGGTATGTTCATAAGGCTAGCCTCTCATTTAG